AAATGAAGGGTTTAAAAAATGCCCTATAATTGTTCATACCTTTTGAAAACCACAGAAACTTATTCTATGACTTGCAGAAGAAATTTGATGTACGGTTGATGTGGTAAAAAAAAAATCAGCAAATATAAATTGTATTTATTTAATTAAAAAATTCCAGTTACAGTTGACATACAATGTTATATTTGTTTCAGGTGTACAACATAGTGATTAAACCTTTACATAACTTATGAAGTGATTGCTTCGATAAATCTAGTACCCACCTGACACCATACATAGTTATTAGAATATTATTGACTATATTCCCTATGCTGAACTTTACATCCCTGTGACCAATTTTATAGCTGCCAATTTGTACTTCTTAGTCCTTTCACCTTTTTCATCCATCTCTCCAAACTTCCTCCCATCTGACAATCATCAATTTACTCTCTGTATCTCTGAGTCTCTTTCTGTTTTGTTTTTAGTTTATTTTGTTTTTGTTTCACTTATAAGTGAAATCATATGGTATTTTTCTTTCTCTGTCTGACTTATTTCATTTAGCAAATACCATCTAGGTCTATCCATTATTGTTGTATATGGCAAGATTGATTTATTTATTTTAAGTTTTTCTTTTTTAACAGAGTACTTACATATAATTTTATTTTTGATATTTAAATGAAACAAACCCAAGGATGACTCCTAAAAATGTAATATTGTTTTCCATTCTTCATTCTCAAAAACAAGGACTAAGAGGAAACAACATCCATAGACTCTTAAATTGGTGAGAAAATTAATTTTTATTGTATATAACATAACACACATCTATCTATCTATCTATCATCTATCTATCTATCTATCTATCTATCTATCTATCTATCTATCTATCTATCTATCTATATAAACTGAAACAAAGGAAGACTCAAAAAGTTGACATTTTTCCTTGTTGTAAAAATGAAAATTCACCTTATTCATTAATTTTAAAGAGCTCAAGTGTATCCTAAATTCTTCATGATAGGGAAAATATCACATATGCCCAATTGTGAGTGGAGATTTTCCCTAAAAAAACAAATCTCTCAGAGAAGAGAGACTCACTTTGTTTTCCAGTACTTACAAAGTCATTTCATCACTTATTTTCTTTTGCACTAAGTCCTGTTTGGAAAAGACATGAGATTTTA